GCCTCATAGCTTTCTTTATTGTGCTACTCTATCATGCACTCTCATTTTGGGGCCATTTTCCTAAATTTATGAATACATTAGGCTTTCTCTTTGGGTTTCCTTTTTATCAGCCTTCTAAATTTTGAAGTCAAATATGATTATGTTTTTTAGGTTATTGCTTCTCTACAGGTGAATTTTATTTCATTATGGTCACTTTCCAATATGTTTTGAGTACATATATTTCTCTCATAACCCTATTACTCAAATGTTTTATATTCTAAATTTTGAGCACTATTTAAAAATAGGTCTATTATTGCCCCCTTCTCATTAGTTGTATGACCAACTGCTCCAGCTCATGTATTTTTTTCCCAATATATTCTAAACACAGTATGCTTTATATCTGGTAATATAACTGATACTGTTTTATTTTGTTACTAAAAACAAACATTGCTAACATTTTGAAATTCATTTACCTTTAGTTATCCTGTTTTCCTAGTTGAATCAAATATTTGTAATATTTTAAAAATTGAACCCACGACCATATTATATTAAAACACATATTAATTAAAATACATTAAATTATCTTTATCTTTTATAATTTAATACGTTTAAAGGCTATGCATTTCTCAATATGTTTGTAGACTTCTTTATGTTCTACCTTGCTTTAAAAGTTTTTGTTTAGAAAATTGCCTTCTTCACCAACTGGATTTGTCCATTGGCTCAGAATCTTCCCTCTGATGGGAGAAGACTTCATCTATTAGAGACTATTTCATTGTCTGGGAGTAGAAAACAATTGAGTAAAAATCTCAGGACCTATATTTAGAATAAGTAATCTCTTTCAGGTGTCTGTACAGATACCAGAGCTTTTCCCAGTATGTTGCCTTCAGTTACATATAATTTGTTGCTGATTTGAAATTCGAGAGGTCTGAACACATTTGGGCAGTATTTGAAAACTGGTCCAGTCAATGTAGATTTATTTATTTTTTAAGCTCATCAAATTGTATTTTAGGCTCTCTGGTTGCCTGAAATCCTGCCAGATGGTGTCCGCTTCTTCAGAATAAGTCCAAATGGTGAAGAGGGATATCCTGGTGAGCTGAAAGTGTGGATATCATATACACTCAAGGATGGGGAGTTAACAATTAATTACAGAGCTCAAACTAGTAAGACTACACCAGTCAATCTAACAAACCATTCTTACTTCAATCTTGGAGGTCAGGTAAGTGAGTTTCATAACAATCACTGATGTTGGCAAGAACAAAAGAAACAGATCCTACATTTTTAACTGCTGAAGCCCTTGTCTATATAGAGTTATTTTTCATGTCTCTGCTGAAATCTACTACAGCAGGGTGCAATCGGATGTCAGTCAAACCCAATTGCATTGTGGGCCGTACCATGACATATCGGAATTGTTTTTGGCCCTTGCAGAGCTAGGGTGGGCATGGCCTGCATGGGCTNACTTAATCCTTAACAAATGCATTTTGCACAAGATGTAAAGACAATCCACTACAGATAGTCCTCAACCTATGACAACTGAGCCCAAACTTTCTGATCACATGACCCCAGGACATGGCATCCTGAGTCAGTTACCAAGCACCCAAATTTTGATCACTTAACCATGGGAGTGCTACAATGTTTATTAAGTGTGAAAAAGGGTCATAATTCCATTTTTTCAGTGATATTGTAACTTCAGTCACTAAATGAATGGTTGTAAATTGAGGACACCCTGTACTATTCACATAAAATTCACAATACTGGCAGCTGTTAACCTGATTTGCACACAAATATAGCAGCATTCAAAAACTAAGAACTGCCTATTTTACAATCATCATAAATATGAGCCAAATTACCTTGATCTCTTTAAAGAACCGGAACGGGATCTACGTGGCGATACAGATCTGGATCTACGAGGAGACAGAGATCTAGATCTGCGAGCTGAGATAGATCTGGATCTAAATGGAAATAGACTTACAGTTATACCATTCTTTACCTACTAAAACTAGAATATTCCACATATGTAAATGCTTACCTCCTGCCACGACTTCGGCTGCGTGAGCGAGAATATCTTCTTCCTCTGGACCTTGAATGAGACCGAGACCGTGACCTAGTTTCGGTTAGAGGAAAAAAAATTAGATTACATATTCAACAATTGGCATGTGAGCCCTCGCTGAAGCTAAAACATCAGCTATCTAAAAATTAAGGGACCGTCAGTTGAAAAATTCAGGGCCTATTTCTCGAGTACTTTTTTACTACCTAATAAAGATGTTAAAATGTATAACATTTAGAATTATTACATAATAATATAAAACACTGTAATGTGTATTTAAAATAAACCTTGCAAGTTTGCAGGTCGACCCTCTTTGGCCCAAGGTCTAGCAGATCTAGACGATCTAGAAGTATCTATAGCCGATCGCTGCATCTAGGTGTTCTCTTCAATCTAACGACGATCAAACTGACAGCCAAATGAGCCAGGTGAGGCTTGATTGACGCAAGAAGATTTTTCTAGGTGGGAATGTGGTCAATCTGGTGTTCCTCTTTTTAAACCGGAGGGGGGCCCAATTGAAAGCCAAATTTACTGTTACGGCGATCACCGTCTCAATTTTTCTGCCCTTTAAAGAATATGGTGAAGCTAGGTGTAGATGACTCGAGGGGATCTGGCCTCTTATGCTGATCACCTCAAGGTCTAGGAGGATCTTAATTGTCGGATTTGCAAGGCGCCTCAGCATGAAATCTTAAGGCTCGTGACATTCTGAATCAAGGCGACTGACTCAAACGAAGAAACCTGAAAGGTTTTGACCAGGTTGATTATTAACATATTAACATTTTAATACAAAATATAAACAAATGTAACATACCCATATAATTAAAACTTTTTTTAAAAAAAATTGGTACTTTATTTTATTTTACTAATCAAAACTACACATAACTTAAAACTTTAAAACAAAATTACTCGTATACATACCTGCTTCTCCGACGACGACTATAGCGATGACAATCATAAGCATAATGACCTTTTTCACCACATTCATAACATCTATCATTAGGATCAAATGGTCGTCGTGCTGGAGGTCTATCATAGCGAGACCTACGAGGCATACCAGTTGATAACTCCACTCTAACCCTGGAACCACAGATCACCCTAACAACAGCAAAACATTTCAGTCAACATACTAAACAAAAATGGAAGTTATTTCACAAATAGCATTTGTATTCCTACTTACTTTCCATCTAGACCACGAACAGCATCTTCAGCATCCCTTGGGTCTTCAAATTCAACAAATGCAAATCCAGGAGGGTTTCGTGCAATCCACACGGTACGTAAGGGTCCATAGTAGCTAAAAGCCCTTTCAAGTTCGCCTTTACCAGCACCTGTTCCTAAATTGCCAACGTATACTTTTGTTTCTGCAAAAATAGAAAACAGTAATTTCCAAAACTTTTAAGACGTCTTAAGATCAAGTAGGAAAAACATGCTTAATGGAGCAGAAGTTCCACTATAGTCAAGGACCCTTTTTTTACAAGTAGTCTTTCAGGTGATAACCAAGTTATCTACTTCCTCTACAAAGTGTTTCTTAGCATATTGACAAAGAAGGGTGGTGGTTTATTTTTTAGCTTTTATGATCACCTCTATGCCATCAACGCTGCTATTTTACAGCAGTTTATTCGCCGTGCATTGGCTTTGTTTCCACAAAAAAAAAGGAGAAGTAGCTGTCCTCCGCTCACAACACGGCGCTCCAGCCAGCTACTCCACCCACTCGGGCCCGGGAAGCCGCTGAATCACAAGGCCAAGCAGGCATAGCGGCACTCATGCTCCATCGCGCGCCTGCGCATTAGGCCACCACCGCTTCCTGGCGGCTGACACACACGCGGCTACTCCGTTGCAAGCTCGCCCGACGCCGCCGTTTCCCCCAACGTCTTCCTGCCCCGCCGATCACGGGCGCCGCCATCTTTAGCACCGCCTCCATTTTACCCGTACACCGGTAGTAGCATTAACAAAAAAAAGGAGAAAAAAAATCAATGAAATCATCAAGTGCCTGCCCGCCTTCACTAAAACGTTCAAGCAAACCAGCAGCGTATTTGCGCATTGAAGCTTAGCAATTCCAACTCGAAGGAAGTTTGCCTCGGTACATCCAGCGACTATAACATGTGCAAAATGGCGCCGGGTCATTTCCTAACGGGCTTTAACATTATCACCGATACAGCTTAGTGTCGTACAAACAGTGAAACTACATCGCGTGATACGGAGAATAGATACACACGACACCTGCCTCGCACCGCGCCTGAACTCGCACCACTTACCTCCGGCATAACGGCTGTAGCGCGACATCCTTTCGCGAAGGAAAAAAAAAACAACTGTCGCTGAGCGCATGCGGGTTTCAGTCCTTATATAGATTGCGCCGTTATTGCGCACGCGCACTATAATTGTGAGCCCGTCGCGGACTGGCGAGGCGGGAAAGACAGTTTTTGTTTCCATAGTAACGTTAGGCTGAAAAAGGGGAGGAGGAGGAGATGGGATATAGGACGTGACGCCATTTTGAGCGACGTTAGGACCCCGCGAACAGGCGTGTTTAAAACATCGCCTGTTTTTAAAGTTAAAAGCGGTCGAGACGTACGGCTGCTGCATATTTGTCAGTAGTTAATATGTACTTTAAAAAGCGCTTAAGGATCATTCAAGATTTTAACAGAATGTAGCGCGCTAGGGGAAACAAATATTGATTTCCCCCCTCCAAATTCTTTTACTTCTCTAATATTTATCAGAGCCATTGCCTGTATTTAATTATTGGTTATCAGTGCCATCTTAGCTGATCTCAAAAACAACACAACGCCAGATCTAGCTAGTACCTGGATGGGCGATCACTAAAAACTCCTAAAACTGTGGGCTAAACCCGGAAGAGTTGCAGAAGAAAGCCAATCAAAGCTACTTCCTGCTCTTGCCAAAACAATATCCATGAAGCCGCCAAAACTCGAGGTCCAGCGACGGGAAACGTCACTTCTACCTTTAAGAGTAATTTTCTTTTCGAAACTGCTTACACAACTAGCTAAGCCTTCACATCCATCCAAAATAAGATAGCCAATATATAACGAGACCTAGAAGATAAAGCTTTTAAAAGCTGAATGCTAAAACTAGAAAGTAACCATAGAAACGGAATCGCCTCTTAGTTAAATCCCTAAATGTGTTCTGAAACAGATGGCGAAAGAAACGTGAAGTCCGCCGTGAAACCAGTTTTTCAAAACTTTTTTTTAAAATCCTTGCGATTCTACGAGTCTAATATGCTAAAGCACTTCTTCCATTCAGTCCCGACCTTTTTGAAAGACTCCTCGGATAGATCCGGCTACGGAAGGGGAATAAAGAAGCCCCTGAACGCAGTGCCTTCTGGGTTCCAGAAAGGACGGCCGGGCGGGAGGGAGGCGCCTTCGCACTCTCTTTTAAAGGCTTTTCTGACTGAACGACGGCTGCTGAAGCTGGATATCCGGATTGTAATTTATCTTTAAGGATGTATACGAGTGCTACCTCTACTTAAAAGACAAGAATAGCTGCAGCCCAGCTTTCTTTTTTTTAATCAACGCGCTGTATTTTTATGGCGTTGACTATGCAGTAAGAACCGCGAGGGATTCAACGGTGCGTTCTTAAACTGCAGGTTTTTTTTCGCGACCTGAAATTAATGTATGTATTGGGGTTCATACTTTTAGGAACATTGCTGAACTTAGTACTAACGAACAGTAGTCTCGTGGGAAGATTATTCGATGGAATGATATTGCAATCTCATCTTCATTACGGAAGAGCGATTGGCAAAAAGATATCGATGATACGGATTGCTAAAATCATAATGATTGTTATGATTTTATGGTATGAGTATGTATTATCGCCGGGGTGGGTGTGTGGGAGTTATTACTTAAACATATCTGAAACAAAACAAAACAAAAAAACCAGCAAGGAGAGCGATTGGATTTCTAAATGAAAAAGGAATGGAAAGATTTCCATAGAGAAATTGAATTAATTATTTGCATCTGGTTAACTGTAGAAGATGTAGGACAAATTTCTGAGCCTGCATTGATTTTCTTAAGGAACTGGAGTTGCTAAAGTAAAGTAAGCTACTAAGCTAAGATATAGTATTCTAATCTAAGACATTTGGAAAGATTGTACAGTAAGAACTCAACCGAGCAGACATTCCCCCAAAATTGTGGTTATTATCGCAAAAAAATGTAGCCTGTCTAGTCCCCTGCTGGAAGGTAGGCAGTGTGATAGTAACTTTTAAAAAGGGCTCCAGGAGATCCTGGAAATAATAGGTTGGTAAAGATAAATTAGTGGAAAGAGTAATCAAAGGAAAAATAACTAAGCAGTAGAGCAGTGGTTCCCAAACTTGGCAACTTTAAGACTTGTGGACTTCAACTCCCAGAGTTCTCCAGCCAGAAGAGCTAGCTGGAGAATTCTGGGCGTTGAAGTCCACAAGTCTTAAAGTTGCCAAGTTTGGGAACCACTGCAGTAGAGGAATAAGCCTCTTTAAAGAAAAGTCAGCATGGATTCTGCAAAAGTAAATCCTGCTTCACCATCTTAATGATGTTTTTTGAAGTGTACAAGCAGATAGAGGTGAACTTTGTAACGTGGCACACCTGTATTTTCAAAAAGTCTTTGACAATAAATTTGTAGACTTATAAGACATACATTGATTTGTGTTTAAGAAAGGACTGGGTAAGTTTTTGAAATGCTGGTCTATCAAGAGGTATTGTTACAACTGGACTTCAGGTGGTCTGCATTCCCAGTGGTGGATTAAAGCTCACTAGTGCCCTAAACACTGACAAATCCCCCTCCATGTACATACTGTACAAATCTTCATTGGATTTTTTTTCTTTCTCAGCTTTGTGGTGCCCCCTTGGGCCTGGTGCCCTAAGCACATGCTTAGTCTGCTTAATGGTTAATATACCACTGTGCATTCCAACTATCAATGTCAGGGGAACAATAGCCAGGGAGGAATCTAACTGTTGCTTGTGAGCATTTCATAGGCAACTATTAGCCATTCTGATAAACAATCCTGGGCTAACATGAACCTTGACTTGATCCAACAGGGCCATTTTATTCTTAATCAGGGAAATAGGCAAGTTTTCCTAATACAGAGGCAGGAGAATATTGCTGGCAATAATGTTTTCTTTTCTCATTAGGTTCAGTAAAAAGAAAATATGACTGAATGGCAGAGGAAAACTCCTTTGGAATGGCTGGCTTTTGTGGATAAAGAAATCAAAGTACTGGCTGCCGAGAAACGCCAATACAAAGGATGGGTTTTAACAGTTGATCCAGTTTCTGCCAAGTATGTCTCAGTGAATTCTATATAGAAATACTTTTTCTGAGAAAGAACATGTGTTAAGGGGGAATGAAGGGGATGAATGATTATAATGTATAAAATGAAAAGCAAATTAAATTGGGAGATTGTATGCCTAAACAGAATACAAATGAAATCTTAATACAAACATATTAAATATTTCTGTCTGATAGACATTTGAAAATATGTAGGTAATTTCAGGAAAAAATTACAACTAATAAACATTGACAAAATTTATTAGTGAACTTATTCTACATTGTCAGGTTTTAAAAACTTTTTGTCAGTTAGTCAGCCATTTCCATACTTATTTATCTAGTGAAATGCATATGCCAATTTTTCAGTTTTTGCAATGATGGATGTAGCAGCTAACAATGGGAAAATCTATTCTTTATGTTGGCTTATATATCATAGGTAGTATGGACAGTAAATGAACTGTTATTTTTATTGTAAAAATAGTTTCCCATGTATTCTATAACATTTAGACAAGGATAATTGTATATTAACACCATGGAAAATTTTTAATTTAAATGAATACTTTTAAGGACCAAAGTTGGGGGATACTTTGCTCATGACCAAAATATTTCATCAAATGATTTGCACAATATTAGCATTTTGTATAATAATATTTAAAGTATATGTAAAATGGATGGTAATTGACTTTACATCTTAGCATGATGTCAATTGAAAATGTAAATCTGATGAAAAATAATTCTACCAAACATGTAATATATATTATGTATATGATTTGATCAAAATATTTTGAGTCTAACTGGAGAGGCCTCACTTATTCTGGCTTTTGATCTTGATCTAGTTATTACAAACTTCAAGGATTGCTAATGCAACTCAAGCCCCAGGTTTATTGGGTAACTTGTGGGACAACTTGTAATGCCATAGCAATTTCAGTTTTTTGTCATTGGGAAAAGAGTTTCATTCTGATTTAAACTTTTTTGATGTGAAAGACTGATAGAAAGGCTTAGTATGGATGAAAAAGCCAACTAGCAATGTGATCACTTAACATATCCTCATATTAACCTTTTATTCTTGACAGTATTCTTCTGGCAAATCCCCTTGAGAATGGAAAAGTGTCTGTTTTAGTTGTTTTAGGACATGCTGTGCAGGATATTGAAATAGTGACTGAAAGAGATGATGAAATTAAAGAAAAACTTGCACATCTCTTCATGGCTGGAAAAAGTCAAACTTATAATCAAGAAGAGCTGGACAGAAAGAAAAACTCATTGAAGAACTGGCTGGAGAAAAACCACATCCCTGTAAAAGAACAAGGAGAATCACAACCAACGCTGTGCGTGGCAGGTGTATTAACCATTGACCCACCATATGGACCAGAAGATTGCAATAGCTCTAATGAAATAATTTTGTGTAGAGTTCAAGGATTGATTCAAAGCTATCTTGCACTTCAGCAGTGAGGCATATAGATTTCATTATCCTTAAAACAGCAGTTTAATAAAAAGTAGGAATGTTTAATGGTTGATGCTCAGCCATTGTTTCCAAATTTTGTTTTGTATATAAATAGCAATTGTAGCAGTTGTGCTAGTTATATTTTTATATTAAAATCATTTGACTTTTTTCCCACCAAGTTCCTGCAAAGTTGGTTTTTTCATACAATAGTAAATATAAGTCACATTCTTATTCTCTCCAGTCTCTTAATTTGAAACCAAAATATTAACTTTTCTGAGGAAAATGGGACAGTAGTATAAGCAATAAAATATTTTGGACAGTTTTTCTTCCTATGAATATGCAGCCAATTTCACAATTGAAAGTACTGTATAGTAAATTCTAGAAGTTAATTTTCTGCACATACAGGACAGCACATACAAAAGGACTGTACCAAGTCTTTTTAAGATACTGAAAATAGACATTTTTGTATGTAAGACTTTTTCAGATGCAATATGACAGTTTTTCTTGACTTTAGTATTAGTACATGTATGTTCCTTTGAATGATCACACCATTGATTGAAAATTAAAACATGCTTTGGTTGCATCTGTTGGGATTTGTAGTTCAACATAGCTGCAAGGGCATCATGTTGAAAAGGGTTGAGTAGACAATTATATTTCCAAATGTGGCATCTGGGAAAGATTGTGTACCTAAAGACCCAATGCACACTATCTACAAAGTTCTTGATCGTTGACTTCAGTATTCATGAAACTTATTGGTCACTACATTTTCCAGGAATAAGTAATTGAGGTGAAACACTGTTTAAAAATATACATTCAGTATTAATAAGTGTGCTAAATATTATTCTGTTTAAACTCTTAAGAAATTCATTAGGAACTTTATTGACGTATTTCCAAAATGTTGTTTGACTGAAATTCATAAAAATTTCCTTATAGAAGTTTGCAAAAACTTTGGGCTTTGTTAATAATGAGGTTCCAGATGAAATCCGTAAGTCAATCGGTTAATCATAAAATAAGTTTTGTTATACTTAAATTTCTCATTCATTTTCTGTCCTGGATAGAATCATGCTCAAAAATTCAGGAAGTAGCCATTTTCCAATAGAGGTGTAAAATGTATCCTTTCATCATCATTTGTGCAAAACTTCCCTCCCTCTCACTATATCCACAAATCAAACCACAATGCTTTGAGCAGTTTCAAACAATATAGTTTTCCTAAAAAGAAAGAACGACAGCTATTTGTTTTGAGAATTCCTTTATTTATTACAATATTTATATAATGTATAACCTATATCATCAGGCTCAATGCTGCATTATTTGAGAATAAGAAATGAGATCTTAGGGCAATTTTATGTTACAATTATTCCATAATTTGTATCACCATATTTGAATTCTAGCAGCCAACACATTATTTGACAAAATGAAAACAGATGTAAATTTACTGGACAGGATTCATTTCTGGACACAGCAATCATGTAGAAACCATGACTGATATGTTTCATGTACTGCCATTTTGGGAAAGGGAAGGATAAATTAATATCCTGCCAGAGTTAATGCTTTATTAGACACAAAAAGGGAGTGGTGAATTATTCAACATTAAATGTATATGTGATCTGTTCATGAATTATTTTCTGAATGCTTATCACTTCCTTGCTTTGCAAAAAAGTTTTATTTTAAGTATGCAAGCTCCTTATTATTGTGTAAATTTCTATCATGTTTATAAAATTGTTTATTTTGAGCTACTTTTAAAAAAACCGCTTTTAAATTGGATATTTAGGTTTCCAAATAGCTATACAGCAGCCAGTGTCACATTTCATTATTCTGTCATTAACATTAGAAGAAAGCCATCCACAGTAGCTAATGCTATTGTGTGGTCACAAGTTTTACAATCAGGCTGATAATCCGAGATCCTCGAGGGCAAGTGCACAGATCCATGCTGGGGTTTTTAATTTTTTCCTGAAGTAACTGGTCAAGTTCACTGCGAAGTTCTTTCACTAGTTCTGCTACCTGAAATTACAAATACGCACTTAAAATAAAGTTCTTCTAGATGAGGTTTCTACTAGCCACTCAAAACACTTCCTAAGCATAGTATGAAGAACATAGCCATTCCTTTATGCTGCCTCTGACTCTGGATGCTGTTCACTATTTTCTCTTTCTGAATAGCTATACCATGCATTGCACCAGCAAATATTGAATACCTCTTTATCCAAATTTCTTATGTGGCAGCAGGATAGTGGTTCAAGAAAGACACCTTGTTTGATTCTTAGTGTGTTTGCAACTGTAGATCTTTGTACAAGTCCCATTGAGTAGAATATTGCTTGAAACTATGAAATACATTGTCCGTACATGTATCTCAATGCTCCAAATTAGGATAGAAAGAGAATAAAATACGAAAGCCAGACGTGGAAGGGTATATATACCAAGTTCACAGTGCTTACATTTTCTATATATTAACTGGGAATTTTTACGTTTACAAGTTTAATGTCTACCTGCACAAGTTGATTGCATCATACAATCAAAATGTTTTAAGACCACAAGAAAGGTGTTCATTTTTAAGAAAGTGAAAGGCTGTTTCTCACACCTGCAACATGCTTCCCTTCTATCTTTAAATGGGAGGAAAGTATATCACTTGGGAAATGGCTGACCCTACAGTTCTTTTTGCCAACGAGGCAAAAAGCTGGTGCCCTCATATGAGATAAAGGACAGCAGTTCTGGGAATGAGGGGCAAAAATAGTGGATGTTGTGAGTGCCTAGCAGAGCTGGCAGCAGAGTCGGACAATGAGGAGGTTGGGGAGGAACATGTGCCAGTCGTGGAGGCTAGGGAAGGCTCGGACGAGGGCTCTGTGACAGGCAGAGATGGGGCGAAGGCCATCTGGTAGTTCTCAGCTGCCTTTGGAGCTAGACAGCATTGAGGCAGAGAAACAGGTGGAGTCTGTTCAGTGTGTGCATGTGCAGAGCTGCCAGAAGAAAAGAACAGCTAAGAAATCAGGATTGACTTGGGAGTAAAGCCATAGATGGACTGTGAATGGCCCCTCCCATAGAAAATAAAAGGAGCGAAAGGGGAATGGGCTTTTGCAGGAAACAATTTGTTCATTCATTTCAGAACTGTGAAGATCTGTCTGAATCTCAGAGACTGTGACACTTTCCTTGCATAGCACGACGTTTGGAAAATATTTACATGGCAAATTTCCAAGCTAGATAAGATCTCTGGTCATAAATTCACCTTTGAAAGACTTTACTAGGCCTTTGCTGAATATGAATGAGAAGAATTCACATTCATTTAATAAAAGGGGTTTTGTCAGGACCAGGACTCTGCTTCGTGCTTTTTGGGGAAGCCTAGGTTAGAACCAGTGGAAAGAAATTCTACTTGCCACTTTTCTGCCTCTCATTGAAGATCAGCTACACTTATGCAAAAATATCTGAAATGTGTGAAGCAATAATAGCAACATGGCTGAAGGAGGCATCTATCTACAGCAGTAGTGGCTTCTGCTGCTGCTACAGATAGAAAAGCCAGGCGCATTAGGCTGGAGGGAAGGGTAGGGATTATCATAAAAGGAGCAGAGGAATAGTCTTCCGGTGAAATCCATTCCTCAATGTCACTGGTCCTATGAGACACCCCCCCCCTCCCAGTGCCTCTGGAGGCTGGGCAAAGCTTGGTTTTCACTGGTAGCCAAACCACAAATGACTATGAAAGCCCAGAATCCACAGCCAAATGTGAGAGGGTAATGCTGTAGCAGGCAAATAATGGCCTTTCTCAGGCTTCTCTTTCATGTGATGCTTTTAAAAAAACCCACCTCTACTGGCCTGCTTCTTTTATCCAGCCTAAGCCTATCTGAAAGAGACTAGCTGTAAGATGACAATTTTATCATGAGGATAGGCATATATTATGATAGGCATATTTCATTGAGACAATTTATCTTACTGTACAATGTTGTAAGTGCAACATTACTGCATGAGACATATACAAAGTACCATATTGGTCTGTATTATACCAGTGAACTGAAAAACAATGGTTCTTAAACAATGAAGGCATTTATATCCATGAAAGAGGCGTTGTTCTTAAATCATCTACCCCACTTTGAAGCCATAAAGTCATAAGAAAGAAAATGGTGCTTTTCAATTTAGGAAATTTTAAAAGTAAGATAAAATGCTGCTCATTGTATTGTAGGTGCCTTCTAGAACATATACATTTTTCCATTTCAGCCTCAGGGACCAAATAGTCCAGAAGGGGGTTTTCTTCAAGGAACACAATCTGTTCCCTATATTGATACTGAAAGTTATACTATTGAAAGGCACTATCATCCAGTACTGCAAATGAAAGTACATATAGTCCTTGACTTAAAACCATACATTTAGTGACTGTTCGAAGATACAATAAAGTTGAAAAAAAATGACTTATCAGCAGTTCTCATATTTATTAGCGATGCATACTCCTCACGGACACATTATCAACAATTCAGGTGTTTGGCAACTGGCATGTATTTCTCACAGTTGCACTGTCCCAGGGTCATGTGATTACCATCTGTAACCTTCCCAGCCAGCCCCCAACAAACAAAGTCAATAGGAGAAGCCAGATTTGCTTAATGACTGCATGATTTACTTAAAACTGCAGTGATTTGTTTAGCAACTGTGGCAAAAAGGTTGTAAAATGGGGCAAAACTCACTTAACAACTCTCCTGCTTAGCAATGGAAATTTTGGGTTCAATTGTGATTGTGAGTCATGGGCTACCTGTAATTTTATTATGAGAACGGTTTACTCAACCATTCTTAAGACATTGTCCTTTAAGTGTACTGGGATTACAACATTTATAATCTAACAGATTTGGAGAACAGCTTGAAGAAACATAATGGACCTGCTGAGTTGCTTAAATCTTTACCTGACGTGATGCTGCAACAAAGTTAATCCACCCATCATCCAAGGAAACAACATATTTCCCATTCTGGAGGTGCATGTTCACACGGCCTCCCCCGAGCAAGATCAGTGGATATACTGACACCATGCTGCACTCTCGAATAAAAACCCGGCTGGTTTTTAACATTTCATGGTATACCAAGTAGGGGCTATTAAACTTCTTTATCTGAAATACAGAATTCCAAAGAATACTTATGGGACATTTAAAACAGGAACAACTCTGATTCTATAAATAGCATCTGTATCATACTATATAACTGCCACTTAGATTTTGCTAAGTGCTAACAAACATTTGTTCTGTGCCAGCATAAAGTGGCCAAACCTGAAGAAGACATAGAGATGATATTTGAAACCTCTAGGCAGGTTTCATATGAATGTAGTAAGCTGGAGGAGAAAGGAGAGAAAGACGTATCCTTGTGTTGGTGTTTACAGAAATATTCAATACCTTTCAACAAGGCTTATAGCATATAAGCAGGCAACTATTGCCTGATGTTGTGCATGCTATTCTTTCCACAAAGAAAGAAGTCTACATATGCTAGAATAAGTTTGGGTAGAATACTTTACTGACTGGAGTAAAGTATTAAAAATTACCTGATAATTTACAGAGGATGGATGAATGTGAACATAACCGTGGTTTTTTGTAGCAAACATCAGTGCTTCAGGTTTTGGATTATTTTTAGCAGCTCCTTTAATAATTGGATACTTCTTTTCGGGTACTTTTATCTAAAATGGTAAATAAAAATTGTGAACTGGATATCCACAAACAATTCACATTTATTTCAACAGAGATATATAGAAAGAGACATTTCTACTAAACTGCTTTCCTCTGACAAATCAACAAGGTGATATTGTGAAATTTAAAAGAAAAGGAAGAAAAGCAGAGAGACTACATCATTCCTCAAATCTATTCCAGACTTAGCAGTAGCACACATTATAACGTATATATTACAAAGCCATAGCCTGGATTCTTTTGTTTGACAAGATAACTGGAGTCTCATGGTTGTAAGTATGATCAGTGTATGTAAAATAAGTAAAAATCTAATCCAACCCTGAAGTCACTTGCTGGTGTTTGGAAAGCACATTGTTTTAAGCACCAGCTTTCATTTCTAACACTATGTACTTCCAGGAGTTACCATTTTTTCCTTCTCCCCAAGGACTCCTTATTGTGTCAGTAACTACCACTTCTCTGCACTTTTCTCTGCACCTCAGACAAGCCTTCTAAACCTAAACTTGCAGCTATAAACACAGACTGGTCTTGCAAAACAGTATCATTCACCAACTAACTAAGTATTATCTTTATTGTCATTGTACTTAAATACAATGAAATTGGTTGTCCCCATCTCAAGCCAATGCAATAAAACTCCAGGAAACGTTACAATTTGGTTTCTGCAAATATCTTGTAAGTCCTAGTTTCGGATTTTGGGGTAGGATGGGGAAAAAGAGCACTGCAGAATGTTAAAAGCAGAATTAAGAAATCAGTAACAATATGCCTATAATGGAGGATTGAAACAGTAGGTTCCAGGCAGAAAGGAATCATGAAAATGTCTGAAAATAATGAGTTGCCAAGTAGCAAACAAGCTACATATACTGGAGAGTTAGAAGCCAATCTCACATGAAGAAAAATTGGCATTCAGCTTTGTTTTCTTTACTGACAACATATATAAACATGAATAGAAGATATAGATATAAAATAAAATAATGAATTATCCCGAAAGCCAAGAGATCAAAATGGTTTTAATGCTTAAGGAAGTTCTTATATAAATTCCCCCCTTAAAATATCGTGGTATTGCAATCAATTCTATTTCAGTCAGAGTAATAGATATTAATACAAGCAAATGATGATTATTTTTATATGCTTACCTGAACCACATTTGGATACATAGCGGCACATAATATGGCTGATATCAGTTTGACATTCTCTGCATTTGCATTTGCCTGTGACATAGATGACAAGTTAGAGCATCAAGACCATCCCTTATGCAGGCATTGGCAAAGAACTATGTAGCATGTAGCAACTGGCAAGAAATCCTGAATATTTCTGGTGTCAGGTTTCTTTGAAAATCAATAGATTTTCATAGAGACTACTTTTAAATGAACTGCTTTCCTGTTAGACACATCTTGGGATGAGTTATCTACAAATGAATTGTAATATTATAATTTTTGTATTTGAATTTTCTTTGCTTTTTTTGCTGTTCAATAATACATGTCAGCATCCACTTTTAAAGTAACTAAGCAGGTTTAATAAAGTTATAATTACAATCAAGTTAGCATTACAACATTATTGTAATGAAAACATTATTTATATTAATACATCACTAATGTTTAACTATAATATATACATACATACATACATACATACATACATACATACATATATACAATAGGTTTTGTTTTCAAATACTCTGCTTTATCAACCCACTAGCTGGACTAAACAGACAAAGTTCACGCCTGACTGAAAGAATTTTCCAGTATGCAAGAAAGTAAAAAAGGACTTTTCATAATACTCAAAGCAACTTGAAAAGTATCTTCAGTCTACTAGATCTTGACAAGATAGGAAGTATTCCAGAAATAATCAGTATAGTTATATGGGAGTTAGATAAAATATAAACATCTTTATTTAAGAACATGGGTGAGGAAGCAGGGAGACATGGAAAGGTGGGTAGAAAAGTTAACAGATTAAAAAACTTCCCCTTCAGTTACCTCTTCTCCTGTAGCTTCAAGAACACCATCCCCTCTATGAGAAAACCTCTGTTCTATGTCTCTGGCT